CCAGAGTGTAGAATTTATTAAAATGCATAGATTTTTGTTTGTCAATATAAGTTCTTCTTCAATTCTTATGAGTAGGAGTTCACTATTACATTATTTCTGACTCCATTTAAGGTGGTGAAATGTAGTTATCGCTACGTGTGAGTCCTGATGGTATGAGTAGTACTATTAATCATTTTACATTAATCTCGAGTATTACACGTTATGACTCACGTTCATCTAGAGAAAATTCCCGTTGAATATTCCACACACCATACATATTTGATATATTGTTATCTTCAATACTTGTATGCTAATTCATCTAAAGCACAATTAATAATGCAACTTTCGTTGAACACATAAACCTCTAGATGTTATACACCATTAATAGATAGATTGAGTTCCAAGGAGAGTAAAACGTAAATTACTCTTCTAATGTATGATTGATATGTTAATGTTAGTTAATTCATATAAATATGTAGATAATACTTTTATGTTGGATAACATATATATATATATATATATATGGATAGTTAATATTAAGAATAAATAATAATATATTGACATAGAATAAATGTAAAAAAATGGTGGACTTAGAGGTTCATTTCAAGCACTATCTTAAGGACATAGCAACTAACACTCATATTAATTAAGATTATAGTGACTCAAAAGTAAAAGAACATAAAAATACAAATGAAATATTACTTAAACATCAACGGTTGGAATTGAAGAAGTGAGTTCCCACACATCAAGAACACCCACAATTCAAGAACACCATAAAGAAGTCAGAACAAATATAAAAATTAATAATGAACTAATGGATTTGGTGATTCAATTGTGATTACTTGTGGGTTTAAATATGTTAGCAAATGGTCTATTATAGTCTATTTATGATCCTAGATCAGTCTGAGGCTAAATTCCCAATCAACTCAAGAATACACTCTCTTTCTTTGAAAATTAGGTGGGTCCAATGCTTGTCATGTTTCTACCTAGCTTTGATGCCGATTTGGCTCTAGGTTTCGCGTCGGTTTGGTACAAATCACAAATACATATTTCCCGACCTGTGTGATGAGCGACTTTATTTATTTTCACTTTTGATCGTATTTCACATTTCTAACACATCTTGAGGATTTACCTTAGTTCATCTCTTTTTCCATTATAAATATTCTATAATTACTTCTATGAAACATACTTCTTTTCCCTCTTGTAACTTTATCGAAGTTAACTGACACATAGAATAATAATATAAAAATCATGCGATTAAGGTCTGTGCAGAGGAGATATAAATAAAAAGAATCACAAATTTTCTATTTAAAAGGGAAAGTGACAAAGTAAGTAGAGAAACCCAAAAAGAAAGTTGACAAAGTTATAATGGGCAAAGGGAGTACATAATTGCTGTGCTAAGCAGTGTCGATGGACACTCATACAGAAGTTTCGTCGATATTTTGTTACAGATTATGCATGAAATTTGCAGAAAATATGGAACTTGACTTGGGCGATTGTGAGGGTTCATTTGACCGAGGGCGAGTCAAGGCTATCAATCAGAAATATAGGGTGCAGGTGCGAGGTGCATGTCATCCTTGCCTGTGATGCTAAATATAATTTCTTTGGTGATCTCGGACTAGCTTTGCAGGGTCATTGTAAGGAGGGAAATATGACACGGAGAATATGTTAGAACATTGCACAATAGGACTGCATAGAGCTCCTATTCTATCGAATTTCCTATTTTCTTGTCGTACTTTTCCATTTTGCATTTTATTGAGTTGCAAGGTTTTTGTTAATTAAAGACTATATTGTTTGGTTTGTGGGTATAAGCAATTGTTTTGCTAGTCTTCATTTGTTAGAAGTATGAGGGAAATGTATGACCACAAATAGCTGCATTAAGCTCATTTGATAGTTAGTCATTCATGATACTCTTTCAAGTACGACAACTAGTGTTTTACCTGGGCGTTGCCCCGGGGTGCACATTGAGGTTTAGAGTTCGTATATAAATTCCTCCTAATTTACTGAATACAACTCATCTTGTTTACATGTTGAATTGATCTAATGGATGGAGACGCCGGACACATTTTGGTAATATAACCAAAATTTTATTAAGTACAACACTTTAAACATTAATATGCGACTATGCATTTCATTGTAGAATAATATGCAACACTTTGAACATCAGTTGGCAATACAAATAGCGTAAAGATGCATCTTACAAAATTTTGTACAATAAGCACACTTTGTACCAGATCCACTTCTTAACACACACACACACACACACACACACACACACACACACATTCTCATACAACTGAACTGACCGTAAGTGTCGTATGGCCAATGCCATTTGAGGGGCTTCTTGATGGAATTCTATTATTAAACTTTGTGATCATGTTTTTCATAAAGTGTAGATTATCTCCACACAATTTCAACTCAATATTCAATCGTAAAATCGATTAAATAAATTTTTGAAAAACAATGCGTTATTTATACATATTTTTGTGCAGTGTGTTTCAATAATTTATTTAATTGACTTTCCAATTGCATTTTAAGTTGAATTTTCTGGAGATAATCTACATTTCATGAAGGAAACACTCACAAAATTTTATCAAAACATTTCACCCGGAAGCCCCTCAAATGACGTTGGCCGCACGACAGTTCCTTTCAGTCCAGAACTCTATATAATTTTATAATGAGCATGTCAGGTAAGCCTAAATTTTATAATTTTAGGCCTCTTTCATTTAAGGTGTTTCCGGGTTCAATATTTTATAAAATTTTGTGAACATGTTATGTTCTCCATTAAGTGTAGACTAATGGAACGTGTAAAAAAATGAAACTGGTTTTTCCAACTATACACAATTTTTTATGAATTAGTAAAAAATTGACCCAGGATGTATGAATAGTCTCCAAAAACAATGTACATATGTATTCAGACTAATAATGATGTTTTTACTTGGACTGTAATTTGCTGGTCTGGTCTAGTCTAGTATGTTTAAGTCTGGTCTGGTCTGAACTGGTTTGGTCTGGTAAACGTCTGGTCTCTGTGTATTTTATAACTACAGAAGTCAAGTTTGGTCTCAGCTGGTTTGTTTAAGTCTGATCTGGTTTGAGACTGGAAACAGTCCAAGTAAAAATACCTTAAATAAGAATGCAAGTACATTACAATGTAAAAATTGAAACTATATATGCAATTTGAATTTCTGATATTTATTGATTTATTGGTTATTGATACCAAAATATTAAAAGGTCATGAAAGTGTTGCTATACCATTTAAAAGGCATGAAAAGGAATTAACGTGGTCAATCAATTTTTGTACTTCATAGCAATTACTTAATTTAATTGTACTCAATAGCAATTAATCAATTGACAAATCAATTTCAATCTGAAGGTTGTGCTTTATTATTAAGTAAGTAGATATGCATTTTTAATTGTACATAGGGTACATTAACAATTTACAACCACAATTGTGATTGCGGGGAAAAAATTGAAGTGGGTAATTATTTTTGTGAGCTGGGTAGATATGCATGTATATACATTGGATCTAATGATATCGCTCTATGCAATATTGAGTAAAACACTTTAAAACTATACATTTCTTATATTAACAACTGCAATATGGATATTATACGGATTATGACATTATTATTAAACAGTGCATCTATAACAATAAAATATACTACTTACATAATAATCGAACTATACTAGACTATAATTAAAAAAATAAGTTTATTGAAAATTAAATTTGAATTAGATTTATAATGAGATTAAATCAATTGGGGTCAAGTAAGATAAATTTCACTTCAATCGAAACTGCTTTATATATGAAGTACAATACAACCAAAATCAGACAGACAAATCATCTATTCAAACTTGAATAGATCAATGTACTCATCAAAGTAGATCAAACCTACACATGAACTCAATAAATAGCGACTGTTCATCATGTACAAGTCAAATGCGCGCGCACACGCACCAATTTTTACACGTCCACACACCAGTTTTTACACGTCCACGCAGACAATTTCATTTTCTTAAAGTTTTGCGTTTTTTGACGATTGCCTCTGTGCACATAGAACTAGGGGCATGCATACAATAATGTGTATAATGGTGTGTACAAACTGATTTTTCGAAAAAAATACTCCATCCGTATTGAAATATTTGATACATTTTCCTTTTCGATGTATATTTTAATTTTGATACACTTTCCCTTTTTGATAAGTTTTCCTTTTAAAAATATAGAGGTGGAAAAAAATATCGAACCAACATGGTCCCAAACCGGAATCATGAGTTTCAAATGTGTATCTTAATTTGTATCCCAAACTGTACCGTACTGGTTCTCATAAAATGAGAATCGATATGAACTGAACCAAACTGAAGCATAGGTTCAACATGCATGTATATCACGAGCCCCCAATATAGAGTATTTTTTTGCTTTATTAATCAATACTCCAGTTTAATACTTAATTTTGTTTAACGGTGTACCGAATACCTCATCAAGTCTCCATATACCAAATATCAATTTTCTAAATCCTTAATACAAAGTTTGTAGTTGCAGTGCTTATTATTTTAAGTTAAATATCATCATTTCTGATTTATGTATTGACTACTAAAGTTTATCTCAAATGTATTAATTATGTAATATGAAAATTGATAAATTATGTAAAAATTTTCCTTAAACAATTGAAAATGACATTATTTGGCATTGATATGATATTGTACCGTCCTGTTTGAGAATAAAACAATACTAAATGGATTTAGATCTAAGAACGAACTGAACTGAACCGTTTTAATAATCACGATAAGATGTTGGTTCGGCAAAATATTGAAACGTTCTAGACCAGTCCCAGTGTCCCACCCCTATAAAAATACTAAAATATCCTTACTTTTGTTTTTACTTTTTATTACCCAAACTTTTTATTGAAAGATCCTAGCAAACATTTTAGTTTTAATATTCAAACAAAAAAGGAAGATCTAAAAAAATAAAAATCTGAAAAGTGATCAACTCCATATTTTTGAAGGAGTTCTAAAGTGAGTGGAAAACCACCTGAGCCTGAACACTTGTATCGTTACTAACCGAACTTTCGTTTTTCCTGACAGCCTCCATCGTTACTATCGAACTACTACTCCCTCTATAAATACCCCCACCGCTCTTACACTCTCCCATCTCTATCTCCTCTGCATCTCGCCCCTCCAAAATCTCCCCTGACCCCGCCGGAGCTCCTCCTCGTATCCTACATTGTCCAAGGTGCTTCTCGCTTGTGCCTGGCTCTTCTCGTCTTTGTCGCCCGATTCCCCTCCCCAGTTTTTCCTTTTTCATAATTGTATCTTAATCATCTTCTCTTTCGGTTGTGGGTGATGTTTTCTCTCTGAATAGAGACATTCTTTAGCTCAATTATACTTCTCACTCACTAATCATCGTTGTTGCTGAAAACCCAATGCTTAAGGTTTAGTGTTGATTCGAATGAACCTAATGCTTCATTTGGATTAGTGAATTTAAAGTTGAATGTTGGTTGATCATTTGCTTTCTTAGGGTTATTCTAATTTCTACACCTTTTACATGGTTTTATGAGCACATGCACATATATACATATACACTTCAAATTTGAGACATTATAACTTTGTCTGCAATTTTCTAGGGAAAAAAGTAAATGGGTCCCTACATAATCGGTGTCCTTGTTCCTCTAGCTATTACAACTCTTCTCCTTCGAAATTCAAACAACAGGAAGAAGAAACGCGGTCTCCTTGTTGATGTGGGTGATGGGGAACCAGGTTATACTATCAGGAACCATAGGTTTACTTCCCTAGTGGAAACATCATGGGATGGAGTGACTACTCTTGCTGATCTTTTTGAATATGCTTGCAAAAAGTATTATGAAAAAAACTTGCTTGGGACCAGAAGACTTGTCTCCAAAGAAATGGAGAAATCCTCGGATGGAAGGTCTTTTGAGAAGCTTCATTTGGGGGGTTATGAGTGGTTGACTTACGGACAGGCTTTCAAGTTTGTGTGTAACCTCTCATCCGGGTTAGTGCATATGGGGCATGAAAAGGAAGAAAGGTTAGCCATTTTTGCAGATACATGTGGGGAATGGTTAATTGCACTTCAGGTACATATTTCTTTTGCAGGAAACAATATACCTATATTCCCCTTTACAGCTTAAAATTATTCCCTGTACCTTAAGTTGAGGCATGTGTTTTGTCTTGCATTTCATGGGTGGCATTTTGGTCTTGCAACTAAAAACCTGCAATTTCAGGATTTCTTTCACCCGGTTTCACTTTATTCACTAAAGTGTGCAATTTTTGTTGTCATATTAATAAATAAACAAAGAATTCCATGTATGGAGCATCCAAAATTGTCTAGTAGGAGTGTTTGCTGAAAGATTGCCAAAGTCCCATTAAAGTTTTTAGTTTGGTGTTTTGCTTTTAGTCTGATTCTCCATCATTGCACATCAGCTAGGCCTGCCATGATCATGTTACCCCCCCCCCCAGTCATATCTCACGTGCAAGGACATGTTAGTTTTTGTGACAAATTAATTGAAATTCATCAAAAAAGTCTATAAATCTGCATGTGAAAATACCAGACTAAAAGATCTACCCATAAGTTACAAGACTAAAGTTTTCACACTTATGATCTTATGCTGTCACGGGGATGCTTTGATGGTGAGCATTAAATTTATTGATGATTTCCATGGTTCAGGCTTGCTTTAGGCGCAATGTGACTGTGGTAACTATTTATGCATCTTTGGGCGAAGAGGCCCTCTGCTACTCTCTAAATGAGGTATCTTTCCCTCTTTAATTTACTTTTACTTCTGGTTTTAGTTAAAATATATGCAAGAATGTCCTGCAATCTAATAAGGAAAAGTCTAATACAAGATCATCTGTTCTTTACTTGCCATATCTGTGCAAATTACCTTTTGTATTTGAATCAGTATCATTTACTTGATTTAGATTATATGGTGGATACCTTGGTCTCCCTCACTGAATAATCACTTTAATACCTTCTAAAACACAATATATGATTTCTCTTTCTTATTTTGTTTATATGCCGTTTCTACAAAGATCCAGATGTTTCCCTTTTAAGCCTGAGTGCTCTCGAGTTCATATTTCAGATTGTAATACTTGTCATATTTTTTCAGACAGAGGTTACAACTGTAATTTGTGGACAAAAAGAACTGAAGAAGCTTATTGACATTGGTGGGCAGCTTGATACAGTGAAACGCATTATAGTAATGGAAAATGATATTTCATTGAATGAATCAACAGTTACTGGAAACTCAAGCTGGGTGATATCATCCTTTTCCGAGGTTGAGAAGCTTGGACGGGAAAATCCCGTTGAGCCTGAGTTACCTCTTGCTTCTGATGTTGCTGTGATAATGTATACCAGTGGAAGCACTGGTTTGCCTAAGGTATATGAATCATATCTCTTAGGCTATGTAACTATGTTTAAAAGTTAATTGTATGGAATGGGAAAAAGTTACTTGCATTTTTTTTCTCAAAGTTTTGTTTCACAATGATAAAGAAGAAATAAGACATCTTTTTAGAATTTCACATACATTTAGGTTTTTGTTCTTTTAAATAGTAGAAACATGTAAATAAACTGGTTTGATCAAATATCCAAAACTGATTATTTATTTTCCCCATATTTTTTATGTACTCACCTTATTTTCTTTTCCTAGCATTTTCCGGGTTTCCAATGGGCCTTTAGTTTAGAATTAAATTTGTGAAAGTTTAATCAGTTCAATGTTGTCTGTACGACAAGTGCATTTTAACACGTATCAATTCTTAAGTTGAGATTTCAGCAACATATGACATGCATTTATTTTTGGTAATGATATAACTCAACCATGTAAATCTATCTATTGTCATTAAATTGATTTATTGATTAACATGCTTTGATAAGAAGGAAAAATGGTATGATAGAAGTATAGAACTAGAGATATAGTTGACAGCTTCTTAAATAATCTCTATTGTCTATCTGATAGTCCTCTTTTGGCTAGATTCGTTTCATTAATGCGCCTGTTTAATGTATGATTCTCTGAGTTTTTTGAATATCTTTATAAAGCTTCCACTTTTATCTTATCAATTGACGAATAATACTTTGCCCGTTGCAGGGTGTGATGATGACACACAGGAATGTTCTAGCAACGGCTTCCGGTGTTATGACAATTGTTCCTGAGCTTGGAAGCAAAGATGTCTACTTAGCATACCTTCCTCTTGCTCACATTCTAGAATTAGCGGCAGAGGTAAAATAGATTTACCATGCATCCATATGATTGAATATTTTCATCTTCTGTGATCTTTGTTATTTTAGTGGCATAGCCCAAATGAGCAATTCAGTCTTAAAAAGGAACACACAGCAAGATGGTATCTTCTAATGAGCAACCCTTTTGAGAGGGTCATTCCATTTCAGTACATATAAAATACAAATGGACATACATGATTTTTTTTACACTTTCCTGTAAGGTTGTACTTTAAGGATGAAATCCAAGTTCTAAGCATTTGGAACAATTTTCAACTAATTAAGACTGTAATGCAGACTATTATACCAGCAATTGGAGGCTCTATAGGATATGGTTCTCCTTTAACACTTACTGATACTTCAAATAAGATAATGAAGGGAACAAAAGGAGATGCTTCCGCGTTAAGGCCGACAATAATGGCTGCTGTTCCAGCAATTCTTGACCGTGTTCGAGATGGTGTGAGAAAGAAGGTATATGAAACTTTCAGACATATTTACAAAGGCTATATGCAATTATGCATACTTAGGGCTCATTTCTTAAGACTTAAGAGTTATTTGACTGAACGTTTCTGAATTCGCTGAAATTGAGAAGTGCCTGGAACATACATATCAATTAAATAAGTAAGGCATAACCTACATATAAGCATATTAAGCTGCTGATAAGCATCATCTGCCAATAATGGCTACCAAATAGAGCCTTATTATTGCATATGCTTTCATAATATATGAGAATCATAATATTTCAATTTTCAACTTTTAACAATCTGGTGGAACTTCAGGTAAATGCCAAAGGAGGTCTAGCAAAGGTATTGTTTGATTTAGCATATGCGCGTAGGTTGTCTGCAGTCAATGGCAGTTGGTTTGGTGGGTGGGGATTGGAGAGGATGTTGTGGAACTTTCTAGTGTTCCGAAATGTTCGGGCAGTTTTAGGTGGACGTATTCGTTTCATATTATCAGGCGGGGCTCCTCTTTCTGGAGATACTCAAAGATTCATCAACATATGTCTCAGGTTCGTGCAATTGATATTAATTAACTTTATAATACACATGCTAGCCAGGAATTCTGAAATCACACAGCCATTGTAGCAACTTCACACTTTTTTACATTATATTTATTCTCTCAGTTATAAAACTTTGGTAGTCAATTAAAATATTAAAAACGGGTCTTCTTAAATGGGAATTTTATGGATTCAAGGACTTGGTAGTTGGTAGATAGGTTATATGTCCATTAGATGAAAATTATTCATTTAGGATGCAAATGATTGAAACTGTCAATCTAGAAATAATAATGAAACTTTGATTTTTTTTTAAATTTATTTCATGTTAGCTTTCATTGAAAATTTCTTCACGGATTGTACATTAAATATATGATTGATTTATTAATAATTATGTAAAAAATAAGAGTATTTCAATAATTCAGATCCTTAATTGATAGATCTTGATTCAATTAAACTCCTTTATCTTTACATTTAGTCTATCAATTACTACTGTACAAAACAATGACAAACAACTTTTTTCTTTTCCTTTACTTTTACTGTATAAAGTTAAAAGTGTTTCGATTTGGCCTTTTCTCTAATGATATTGGTCCAACATTATTTTTTCATACTCCCGCCTTATATTGATGCAAGTATCGACTACATTTCCAGCTAGTGTTGTAATTTATATTCTTGCACTTTTATTTTCCCGATTTCAGTGCTCCCATTGGTCAAGGGTATGGTCTCACGGAGACATGTGCTGGTGGTTCTTTTAGTGAATATGATGATACATCCGTTGGTCGTGTCGGTGCACCATTGCCGTGCTCATACATCAAGGTACTAACATAAAATGTTTGTTATTGGCATATGAGTTTTCTCCAAGTATTGTTTTATTCATATTTTCACTTTTTTCCTTTTAATTAATATATTGTATTGCTTTTTGTATGGGTTTATCTAATGATGAGTGTTCCACACACATGGGTTTGAATCTAGTATATAAGTATCAAGTATGAGGTAAATAGTAAACCTCATATTAGATCCAACTTGACATGGTATCAAAGTATGGTCTATGATAGTATGGTTGGCTATGGGGCGCCCCCACCCGATAGTTTAGGTGATCTCTTTTGGGGGCTAGTTTTGGTCCATTTGTTTACGCTTTCAGCTGTCCAACCTGACATGGCTCTGTGGGTGATATATACTCACGACGATTCTCTTCTGGCTTTGAGGAGTCTAGGACTCGATAAAAGATCGTCAAACCAAAACCCTTCAAAGCTGTAGATCAAAATTGAAAATCGACTATATGTGCTTCGGTTGTTGCTTTTAGGTTTAGGCTATGAACATCGATTAAACCAACCAAACTAGGCTCGTATCGACGAAAACCGCGCGGAACCAAAAACCGAAACCGACCAAAGAACACCCATATTTGGGTGTACCATATAAACTTGAGATCCATTTTGGGCAAGTTAATTCCAGTTTAACTTCTATTATTTGGTTGTTTACAGTTTGATTATTTACAAACTGATTCTGTTACATGATTGGCTCTTTTTCTGAAATTTAGTTGATAGATTGGCCTGAGGGAGGATACCGAACAAGTGATTCACCAATGCCTCGTGGAGAGATTGTTATAGGCGGGCCAAATGTCACCCTTGGGTACTTCAAAAATGAAGAAAAAACAAAAGAAGTCTACAAGGTACTGTTTCTAGTCCTTTGTGGCATCACCGTTTAACCCTTGATGTTGGTTGGATGATTGATTATGCCTTTTTTTTACTCTTGTAAGGTTGATGAGAGAGGGATGAGATGGTTTTTCACTGGTGATATAGGGCAGTTTCATAATGATGGCTGCCTTGAGATTATTGACCGCAAAAAAGATATCGTGAAACTTCAGCATGGTGAATATGTTTCTCTGGGCAAGGTACACTGTTTTTTCTGTACTATATTGCCCATATTTTTAAGTCTCCATTTGATTTATTGTTCTTTACATCTGCCTCCTTCGAAATATGGTCATATATTCTATAATTTTCAATGTTAAAAAAATGGTCGTTTACCAAAAAACTTACTGGTAAAGCCGTAAAGGAGTTATTTTGTAATACTAAAGCTCTTGGGAGGTAGATGTAACTAAACAATAGGGTCATAATAAGGTAATTGGACTAAAATATTTTCGTATATTCCAGTTTTTGTTGTTTTTAGGCAGTAAATAGCATTTATAGAAGGATAACATCTTCCTGGATTTATTTTACAATTGCTTAGAAAAAGATTTCCTCGGTAAAAAAGAGGATGACATTTATTGGACTAGTCTGAACTAATCTGGCTTGAACTAGTCTATTTCAGTTTGGTTTCTTTAAGTCTGGTCTGTTTACTCGTCTGGTATATTTGTATGTTTGTTTTCATCACTGCCAAAGGTCTAGTTTGGTCTGATCTGGTCTAGTTTGTGACTGAAATGTGTCGAAGTGAACAAGTTAATTTTAGTGTTACATGGGAAAATGCAAAGAAAATGAAATATAAGTTACAAATGGTAAAAATTATCTTTTAGGTTGAGGCTGCTCTATCTACCAGCCAGTATGTTGACAATATAATGGTGCATGCGGATCCCTTCCATAGTTACTGTGTAGCTCTGGTGGTGGCTGCGCAGTCCGCTTTGGAAGATTGGGCTGCAATGCTTGGAATTCAGTTTGTAGATTTCTCAGACTTGTGCACTAAGGTTGAGACGATGAAAGAGGTCTACACTTCACTTGTAAAGGTATTGTCTTTGCCGTTGTGTTTGTTTCAAGAAATGGTCCTTTGGACATTAGGATAGTTCACATCTTTTGTCAACTTCAAATAAAATTGTACGTAGTATTGATTATGTTATGCTATTATGGTATTATTTGTATGTGAAAAGATTCCACTTTGGTCCCACAACTACTAGATCTTTTATTCATTTTGGACTAATTTTTTTTCTTCCCTAAAAGGGAACTAGCTAGAGGAGGGAGTAAACATTCTGTTTGTTCCACATATATTCAGATGTTTTAAATCATTAATGTCTGCAAAACAGAGCTAAGATAGTTCTTATTTTGTCTTTCCATATATAGGCAGCAAAGGGTGCCCGCTTGGAGAAGTTTGAGATCCCAGCAAAAATAAAACTGATTTCTGAGCCGTGGACTCCAGAGTCCGGCCTAGTCACCGCTGCACTCAAACTGAAGAGAGATGTCATCCGGAAGACTTTCTCCGAGGATCTTACGAAGCTATACTCATCCTGATTTCGATCTTTTCTTCTTCATATCAGAAGTGTCTGTATGTGGTTTATTTTCTCTGTGGTTTAAATATTTCTTTGTATAACATTTGTTTATTGTTTTTTTCATAGTCTCCTGTGTCAGTTACCTTTGTAAAAAAACATAAACAAATCTGTGTTTGTCAATTAGTTTTATAGAGTTCAATAAAGTTAAGCTCATTAGTTTATTCTGTTTACGAAGTTGATGTTCTTGGTGGGATGTTTGTTAGTTCAACAAATCTTATGTCGATCAATCGGCTATACCTTGTGCACAATATTTTATGTCAAAAGAAATGAGTATTAGTATTAAATTATAAAATTAACACAATAAATATTTTGATGACAATACAATGATAATATAGTTAAATGAATAAATTGATTTGTGTTATATATATTATGTGTATATCATGATACTTAGTTGTATGCTTTTAATTGTATATATAATAATATATTCATTTCCTTTAATACTCCTTCTGTAAATTAATGTTTGCTACACTTTCCTTTTTTAGATGCATTTACAAGTTTGCTATACTTTCATTTTTGGTAAATTTACCCTTTATAAAATACTAAACTAGCTTCACTTTTTTTACTTTTTATCTTCTCTTTCATATTTTTACACTCTTTCCTACTTTTTCTACACTATTCACTACACCACCACTTTAGTTCTTAAATAATGTGTCAAACCAAATGTAGTGAACATTAAAATATTCAACACGGTACACTGGAATACTGGATTGTATTGTGTGGGCTCTCGATCAATATCCAGTGCTTGGTTTTCTCGCAAACATAAAGAAACAGAGCATTCTTTAGAAAACTAAAATGAGCATCGTTTTTACGCAAATTGTATCTATCATTAGATTCATCATTCATTAGTACTTACTACTTACTCATAGGAATATAAATAACATCTGATGTATGGATGGACCCGGGCCGGTTCGGGCCCGGTTCGGGCCTAGGCCCGGCCGGGCCTCGGGTCTGTTTTGTTGGGCCCGAGCCCGAACCGGTGGCCACCGGTTCCGGGTCCGGTTCCGGGCCGGGCCGGGCCGGTCGGGCCACCCGTTTTAATTTTTTTTTTTTCCCTTTCTTCCCCCACCCCCCCCACCCCCCACCCCCCCAAACCCCCCCAAACCGGCCTAAAAAGATAGCCCAAGCCCAACAGCCCAAAACAAATGAAAAAAATTAAAAAAAAATAGATTTGGCCCGGACCCGGGCCCGAACCGGCCGGGCCGGGCCGTCAAAACCATGAACCGAGCCCGGAACCGCCCCACCCCCGGGCCTCCGGCCCGAACCGGACCCGGACCCGGATAACCGGGCCGGGCCGGGCCCGCACAGTAGCGGGTCGGGCCGGTCCCGGGCCGGGCGGCCCGAACCGAGGCCATGCCTAATCTGATGTATACATTTTCCTTTCCCTAACCTACTTTTGATAGGGACATACCTTACAAGTTTGTTTATTTTGTTTATTTTTCTTTTCAATGAGAGGGGGGGAGAACTTAATTAATGTCTATAATACAATAATAATCTTTTGAGTAGGCATAAATCCGGTCCTGAAGAATTTTTGGTGAAGCTCGAGCCCGACCCAAATATAAAGGGTCTCGGTTCAAGGTGCCCGAGTAACCCGACATCCCGAGTCCTGACCAGTCCATAATACAAACAAAAAACTATACACATTAAAAAGGAAACATAAGTTTATTTGAAACATTTACTCCCTCCGTCCCCTTAAGTTTGTCTCGTTTTACCTTTTTCGTCCGTCCCACTAAGTTTGTCTCATACCATATTTGGTAACATTTGAGTGGTTAGAATTCATTCTTACTTTATTTACACTTTATCAATTCAATACCAACCACACAATTCAACTTTTTCTTAAAAACCACACCACACCCCTCCGTCCCAAACTTAGGAGGACGGAGGGAGTAATTGACTTGTACTAGCACGTTACAAATTTGTGTGTAATTATGTGTGTAAAAAACTAAATGCTAAAATGAAAATGTAGATAATAATACTAAGGGTATGTTTGGCACAACTAGCTGAAAAGATACTTTTGTGAGCTTTTTAATAATTGTTAGCTTTTAGTGTCTGAAAAGATCTTAAAAAGAAAATATGGTAGTTGTTTGGTAAAATGCCGACTGTTTGATTTAGTTTGGTTGGGTATACAAGCTGTTAGGATTAATTAGCACTAAAAGTCACGAGCTTTTCTCAGATGCCACTCCCCGTAGCATCTCAAAAAAGATCTTTTAATTTTTGAAAAGCTCTTAAAATTGTCATGTCAAACATACAACTAGAAGCTTTTAGAGACTTTTTGAACAATACAAAAGCTAGAAGACAGGAACTTATGCCTGCCAAACACAGCCTAAGTGCTAGCACATTACAAATTTGCTACTCTTCGGAACTCTCACTTCCCTAATCGGTTGTTGCTTCCTCCATAAAATCACGAGTCGGTGCTATCTTTAGTTCTCGAGTTCGCCGCCGGGCGTTCAACCAATCGTGTAAACACACATGCGTCTCAAGAGATTGCGCACTCAATCTCATCCTATAATTGATTAGAAAGTTCCCGGTTTCATTAAACTCTTGTTCCACGACAACTATTAAACATGCATGGATAGGACTTGTTTCTTCATTGTTGATAAAACTGTAAACATCGCTTCTTTATCCTTCCACTTTTTGAGAATGTTAGTGTTGAGGTTTTGTCCCGTAGATCCGGAAGCTCAACATAAACTCCGGATATTAAGGACGATGGATTCGGTATAAAAGTGAATAAATATATAAAAGAAGTGTATGAACTAGCTATTTTTACGTGGAAACCCAGAAAGGGAGAAAACCACGGGACTTTTTAGGCTAACGTCCAAGCCCGCTCTTTCTCATTAATATCCTCTCCCCACTCAATTACATAGTACAAAATATCAAAACCTCCATTAATGGAGCTTAGTGCTAATCTAAAAGAATAAAGAGGATGGGGGAGAAGAGCTCCTGGGAGCAGATCCCAGATCCTCTCAATAGGAAGCTTAACATGCCTATTTATAGAAGGGGAGGGGAACCCTTTCATGCTCATGGGCCTTAATGGGCCAAAACAGGCCCAAGTAGGTCGAGTAGGCCTAACTGGCCCTAAATGGGCCCGAGGGGCCTAAATGGGCCTCGTCGATTGGGCCCCGTACCGGGGCGGTGTATTGGGCCTCTGAACAGTAGTAGGCCGGGGTAACATACCGCAACAGTTAGATATAAAGAAAGCTCGTTAATCGAGCTTTGTGCAACGCTAGAAGTTGACTTAGTTATTTTCAAAAGATTATATATTATTGATTTAAAAAGACACTTTCCTTAAGATGAAGAAACAACTTGTTTCGGGGAAGAGGGTACATTAGCATATTTCTGCATCAAACTCATTTAATAATTTATGAATTGTGCTTGAACATTAATAGAGTTGTTGTCGTACATAGGCAATTCGTCATAAATAAACTACAATAGTACTCTAAAAATGATTGATAATTAGCAAGTTTGAAACGAGAATTAAGAACGAAAGCAATATCATACATAAGCGGAATGTAGGTATAATATTTTTTTTTTAAAAATATTTCACTAAATCACAAAAATAATGAACATATTTGATATCTTGAAATTCTTTGAAAGCACCAGTTAGATTGACACCTTCTAAAAAACATGTTACTAGTAGGTTGATAAAGATGATAATAAGATAGAGTGCGGTATGAAAATAAACATACACGCTACACTTTTTTCCATGATGTCTAACTCTCACGATTCTATAATATACTTACAAGTTTCTTTAATAAAAGCAGGCAAATTGTTTTTCCTAATCCAAGAATCAGAGCAATTAATTTATAAATACTATTCCAACGAATAGACAAATCTTTAGAAAAAAACACAAAACCTAACACGTTGAGATTTCAAATAAGCACGTCATTGTTATTTAAGTGTTGTACTAGCTCCATATAAGTTCAACACACCCTTTAACGTTATCCATCACATTTCATAATGCGAATAGACCGTCTTTAACACATAAATTAATAAGATGATGTGCACAGCGTTGATGAAAAAAATCTTCAACACTATTGTTATATCAACACTATTGTTAGTAGCATCATCAAAACCAATAGCAAACACCTAATAAATGAAATTAAATTCAGTTAAAATACGTTCTATGATAATATAAACATTATCACCAATATGTTTCTCATTAGAATTTGTAAAAACGATCGCTCTTTTATGCATCATCCAACCATCATCAATAAAATGTACAGTTACACCCAAATAATACAAGTGATGATATATCACTACAACAGTCACACGTCCATGAAAATTTGCAAAACAATTAATTAAGTTTTGCTTTTCCAAATTATATTGTTTAATAACTTCCTTTTAATGGTTTCTCGGCTATAGTTTCAAAATTGTGGATTTAAATAACCTTGAGCATAAGCACGTAAAGTAAGACTTTTAGAAAAAATATAAGGCAAATTTTGTTCACATATTAATTCACACAAAGCTTTCAAATATTCATCATTAAGCAAAATCATTAAAGGGTTGAGAAGTTGCAAATCTCGAAATTTGAGTTTGCATGCTCTTGCCCTTCGTCCTTTCCGCCTCTATGGGGTGTCTTGAGTTCAAGTGCCTAGTCACAGTGCCGTAAGCCCGTAACCCCCAACGTCCACATGCCCAATCTTTGGGGATAATACCGGCATTGTGCGTACAACTTCCCGTCCAACGGATCCTTTATCATGTCAAAATGAAATTTAAAAAGATGAGAACATAATTTTATTTCTTACCTTCGTTGGGTTGTGTGTATGAACCGGCGCCACTCCATTGCTACTCCTCGGGGGGTATCCCCACCTTCTTGCTCCTCCTCCACCGATTGCTCTTTCTCGGTGTCATCGTCCTCCAACTCTTCGTCAAAATGATATCCTAGGGTCTGACATTTTGAAATGCGACTAATATTAAAATGTGGCTAATATTAAAAAAAAAATATTAAGATGTGACTAATATTAAATTGTGGCTACTATTTAAATATGACTAATATAAAAATGTAACGCGTAACAAATATTTAGATGTGGCTAATATTAAAATATGGCTAATATCAAAATATCAAAATGTGACTCATCTTAAAATTTCCTAACTAATACTAAAATGCGACTAATATTTAAATGTAACAAATATTAAGATGTGGCTAATATTAAAATGTAGGTAATATTTAAATGTAACTAATATTAAAATGTAATCCGTGACCGGGTACGCCATATACCCGATCGGGTATCAGGCCTTAGCCCGAGACCGAAAAAGAGATCCGGTTCGGTCCCAAACCGTACTGGACGCGGTTCCGGACCAGGTCAGACCATCAGACTGGGTCCATGCCTAATTTTGAGGGAGATATTTTTATAAGAGAAAGATGCCAAGATTTTGTTTTTGTACAAGTCACTTACCCTCGATCGATAAATAATGCTGTAATTGATTTGTGTCTGAGCATGTGATATTATGTGGTATAATAAAATTTTCTTTGTTACTTTTTCTTCGACATGTCCCATTTCCTGGTCAACAAACAAACCTTCAATTCATCAGTTAATTCTCCCATCAATAAAGAGATAAAACAGTTGCATGGAGAGTTTTTCTCAAAATGAGAGATAATTTCTCATCTGAAAACAAAAGAAACATCAACAATCTCTCCTTCAGCACAAACAAAAAAATCAAATTCAACCAAAAGCTTCACACAAAAATCCAACCTGAAGATGACAGGAGGGGGCAGAGGAAAGATGAAGAAAACATCTTCAAAGCCAACAATGAATGTCCTACCATACCAAACTCCAAGGCTGAGGGACCATTATAACCTCGGTAAGAAGCTAGGCCAGGGGCAATTCGGGACAACATACCAGTGCACAGAAAAAGCCACAGGGCTTGAATATGCATGCAAAACAATCCCAAAGAGGAAGCTATTGTGCAAAGAGGATTATGAGGATGTTTGGAGGGAGATCCAAATAATGCACCACTTGTCGGAGCACCCAAACGTCGTTAGGATCAAAGGGACATACGAAGACAATGTGTTTGTCCACTTGGTCATGGAGCTATGCAAAGGGGGTGAGCTTTTCGATAGGATTGTGGCAAAGGGACATTATAGCGAGAAGAAAGCTGCCGTGTTGATGAAAACGATAGCAGGAGTTGTCGAGGCGTGTCATTCGCTAGGTGTCATGCATAGGGACCTTAAGCCCGAAAATTTCCTCTTCGATAGCCCCGATGAGGATGCCAAGCTTAAGTCCACCGATTTCGGTTTGTCCGTGTTCTTCAAGCCCGGTATGTTCTTCTTTGTCTTCTTCCTCTTACGTGTTGATATGTATCTTTATATTTGATGATCGGTGTAGGATGACTTTACACTCTATGCCTTTTTGAGTTTAAGTACATTAAGTGCAACACCATAAACAACTTTTTGAGTGATTCTTAATCAAAATCCACAATGCCAAGCAATCTAACATTAGCCAAATGTAAATATACAAACAACATATAAGGCCTGCCCATTCCTTATATTTAAACCTGAGAACTTTCTAACATATCATATTGGCTTTTGGTTCAGGGCAGTACCTTTCTGATGTTGTAGGAAGTCCATATTATGTTGCACCAGAAGTACTCCAAAAGCACTATGGAACTGAAATTGATGTGTGGAGTGCTGGTGTTATTCTTTACATTTTACTATCAGGTGTTCCTCCATTTTGGGCAGGTAATTCTTTTTTGATAAATCTAAACAATGAACGGCAACTTTAATGCAGAATGGTTTCTTGTAATAAAGAAATACTACTAATGTGGAGCAATAATAATAATAATAATAATTGTACTTGCAGAAACGGATAATGGGATCTTCAAGCAGATTCTGAAAGGCAAATTAGATTTTGAATCTGATCCCTGGCCGTCCATTTCAGACAGTGCAAAGGATTTGATAAAAAAGATGCTCCACCGTGACCCGAAGAAGCGAATAACCGCTCACGAGGTCTTAAGTAAGTTTCCCTTTTTGTGCTGAAAGATGTGTTTCTTAACCTTAGATTTTCTCTAGTATATATAACCTATAATTTTTTTTAATAAGATGGTCTTTTTTCATTTCTATGCCACTGCTTTTGATTTGTACTATTTAATAAAAAACTGACAATATTTGGATGGTGGTGATGAGGTTAGTGACTATCTGGTTGTATTTTTTATTCTTGAATATCATATTGAGGTGAAGCTCTTTGAGCTATTTGACCAAAACTTGAGTTTAGCAGTCATAAATAATGTTATTGGACTTGTTGCTGAGTTCAGTTAAGGACTTTGAATTTGGTAACAGGACACCCATGGATTGTGGATGACACAGTTGCCCCAGACAGACCGTTGGGCTCAGCGGTTTTGTCGCGCCTGAAACAATTCTCAGCTATGAACAAACTGAAAAAGATGGCTCTTCGCGTACGAATTTATTTCTTATAAAAATGAGTATGATGATGAGTCTTGGATGAATCTTGAAATGATGCAAATGTACATGGCAGGTAATAGCAGAGAGGCTATCAGAGGAAGAAATCGGAGGGCTAAGGCAGCTATTCAAAATGATAGATACAGATGGGAGTGGAAGTATCACATTTGAGGAACTCAAACAAGGGTTGAAAAGAGTTGGGTCTGAGCTTATGGAAGCTGATATTCATGCTCTCATGGAAGCGGTTTGCACTCTTCATTTTCTCTTTTCACTCAATGTTACGCCTCCAAATTTCTTATGAATAAAGTGACAATGTAAAATTACCGTTGACAACGAAAATGAATGATAAATGTTAACCACACTAACCATATATTAAAAAGGAAATGAGACAAAAATTCCGGGACATTATAAGCAGGAAAGCAAGAAGAAACTTGTTGATAGTTTTAAGCATTAGATTATGGTATTAGGGTGGTATCTTTTTGTTTTTTTGTGAATAAAAGGTCTAAGAGCTTCTTAGCGGTCATATAGTCGCAAGCTGATTAATAGTGTCAAGATGGAATTATTTTGTTTCAATTGGGACTCAAGGTAATTGGTGACTTTGCATTCATTGTCTGTTTGGATGGACGGTTTTGAATGGTTCTTGAGGAAATGCTTTGAGTGGCTAATTTGGGTATAAAATCATGGTAAATGTTCCCGACACTTATCACACTGCACCTCTTATCGTTAGAGTTAAAAAAAGACTAATTTGGGTATATGTTTACGATTTTTAGAGTATCGAGTTCAACGTAATGTGGCAGTTTAATATCGTAATGTTTCTAACAACAATCTATTTATCAATTTAATAGAATAAACATTTTCAAACCCTCCATCTAAACAAACTGGCATGTAGCTAGCATACTAAACCAAGTACTTCTGGTCCAAAAATTTAAGAGATTTACCCCCTCCTAGGTTCTACCACCGGCTATTAGTGACATATATCTAAATATTTTAGTGGTGTGATTAAATGTATTTGTCAGGCTGATATTGACAATAGTGGAACCATTGACTATGGTGAGTTTCTTGCGGCAACATTGCACTTGAACAAGATGGAAAGAGAGGAAAATTTGCTGGCTGCTTTCTCTTATTTTGACAAAGATGGCAGCGGTTATATTACCGTTGATGAACTTCAACAAGCCTGCAAGGAATTCGGATTGGGGGACGTTCATCTCGAGGAGACCATTGAAGAAATCGACATCGACAATGTATGTTTCTTATAATTACCTAAAGCATTTGGACATTCACAAATGAATTTTGAATAATAAAACCCTCCTATTTTAAATGTTTGGTTGAATGTTTATAAAACTTATTAATACCTAATAATCCTAATATATTATCAAACTGAAGATAAAAAATAAAATGTGACTTAATCACTTTTAGTTAGTATGATTGTGTTCAACTATGATGTTGCAATGGCCATAAACGTACACTCATAATAACTTTAGTAATATTTTTGCTCACGAGTTTTATATAATTAATGGTGGGTGTATACTGTTCATTGTATAGGACGGACGTATAGATTATGGGGAATTTGCAACAATGATGAAGAAAGGGAATGCAGGACTTGCAGCCAGAAGTATGAGAGGCAACTTGAATTTCAACTTGGCTGATGCCTTTGGAACAAATGACCCCAGTAACTAAACAACAATAGAAATGATTTGCTTTTTATTAGGTTAGAGAAATTTATATGGTGGACATTTATTGAAAATATTTATATTTTCCCATATTTTTACCATTTGTCCATTATTAAGACTTGTAGTGTATTCTTATCCTTAGGCATTTCTAAGTGAATGATATGTATTACATGGCCCATGTATATCCATGAACACATGTGTTCGTCTCTCTTTTTTATCACATTCACCAATACACATGCATCCAAATAAATATTCAATGTAACATATACAGGCCGTTTGACAACACGGTTTTTCGGTATATCAGACTTATCAGCCAACTTTTTCACCAAACACGTATTTTTTGCTTTCGCGCGCTGAATTGTGTAATAAGCATAAAAAGTAAGGTTGGAGTTACTTTTCTGGCTGTATTGGCTGAAGTTACTGTAGATGACCATTTTAGCTATTTTTACATATAATTTTTTCTTTATTTTATTAGTAAAATATATTTTAAAAATATTTTTTTCTTAAATCAACAGAATCAGCCAATGCAGCCACTTCAGCCAGAACTTCATATATTTCAGCAGAATCAGCCAAATAAGCCGATTTTCGTGCTACCAAACGGGCTCATAGGTAGCAAATGAATACTCAAGAAGAGCAAGTGATGTTTTATCTGTTCAATCAAATCACTTATTCACAATTTTCTAAACAATTATTATCAATTCTAACATGTATGAGAACTAAAATTTTGAAAACAAGATCCTAGTATTTACTCTGTCATGAAACCAATGAAGCCGGTCATGAACATTCCAGCTTGGTCATAGTCTTCATGTCACCATAGTTTCCAATTTTTCATCATGGAAAAGTGTGGTAATGTTGGCCCCCAGTTTAGAAATCATAAACTGAAATTTTAATTGAAAATGAACTACATTAATATCAAATGTATCAATAATTTGGCATGTTTAGCATGACGTATTTGCTAACGTGGATGGTTACATGTTAGATGATGTGGCAGTCTGAGAATGACACGGCATACTATGTGCAACTCATGTGGCATGTTTTCTTTTGCACAATTTTCTGTCACTGAACTGTTTGTGGCTAAAAAAATATTTATATGTATTGACAAAATTTTGCCTAAAGTGTAGGTATTGGAAATCATATAGGAGTATAAACTAAATTTTAAATTGAAAAGGAACCACATTTAGTATTGAACTATTGATGATATCTGATAGAGTATTAGTTCTAGAGAGAAGTGAGAGCTAGAGAGAGAAAGTGAGTAATTATATTTTTCAACTTGGAACCCCCTATAATTAGCCCCTTGGGGTCTATTTATAGGTAAAAATGTGGATTTGGGCCCCTAGCCTTGGGCTTAGGAGGCCCATTACAATAATCATGCCTTCTTTGGGCGAAATAAGGCCACTAATGGGCTGGGTACAATACTTAGTAAATACAATGAAAAATACATTCTGCCTAGACGAAGCACGGACGATGCGGTCCGTGGACGACGCGGTCCATGGACGATGCGGTCCATGGACGATGCGGTCCATGGACGATGCGGTCCATGGACGATGCGATCCCTGGACGATGCGGATCTTGGGCCCTGCCCCAAGAATCCGGGTGATGTCTTCCTTCTTGGACGTCGCGTGCCTCTGGCCGGTGCGGGTGCCCTGCTAGTGTCTTTTGGGCCGTTTGAGTATGTGGGCCATGGGGTCCAGGCCCATATACTCTATCAGGAGTCCCCCACTCTCTGAGCTGAGGTGAAGCCGAAGCGAAAGGGAGTACTTGTTCTTTTCTGGCTGGCCGTTGCGCGAGCCTAAGGTGCTCGGTGGCCGCAGAGGTTTTTCCTTAGTCTTTAGGCGAAGGGATTTCTTCACTTGATGGGGGCGAAGCGCCCTTTGGGGATTCATAACCTTGATGCCGGCCGATGCGCTCCCCCGTGGGAGTGCTTTTAGGACGAAGCGACACGTTCTCTTTCCCGTAGATGACGTGGTGAATTCTGATGTGGATAAACTGGCCTGTTTCATTTGTCATTCGTTGGGGCCGAAGAGCTCCCCCATAACTTTTTGCCGTTGTGGTGACATAGTTTTATGAAGCGAAGATGTTTGATCTCGTCTATGGGGACGATGCGAGCCGCACGCTTTTGATCTGTTATGCGGCCGAAGCGCTTTGGCTTGTGTATTCTTGCTTTAGTGAGCCGACGCAGTCCCCCAATGTACGTAGCCGTTGCGCGCTGTATTTTGTATTTGTGTTTTAAATTTTTGGGCTCTGTTAGCCGAAGCCACTCGCGATGCTATTGAGGTGAATTGTTTGTCTTTTGTTGTTGGTGAGCCGTAGCGCGCCCTTTTTGCATTAAGGCCGTTGCGGTTTCCCTTCTTGTGGCCGATACAGTCCCTCAGTCCCCCACTCCTTTGGCCGAAGAGCATCTGAGGCACAAGGGAGTAATGAGCCGATTCGGTACCTATGCGTTGGTCGCGACTCCAACCCTTAGGCGCACCTGTCCAAGTGATAAGCACAATAATTACTTATGTTTTACATATGTAATTACATTTATCTGTACAAAAATATGAAGCAAAAACAGATAAATATTCTCGAGTTAGCGGAAACATGAAATACGACATGGAGCAATGAAAATAGGGTCAAAAGTCAAAAGGGATCGAAAACCGGCACTTCGGGATCAATTTCAGGCATCAAACGAAGAAAAGAAGCGAAGTACAAAATTGGGCGCAACGACCGGCGCCGGATGCCCTATAACCGGCGCCGGTCGTCAGGATTTTTTGCCCAGTTCGGGCCTGTTTCCAACCGGCGCAGCACGACCGGTGCATTTTTGCACCCAACCGGCGCCGGACATCCTATAACCGGCGCCGGTTGTTCCGATTTTCTGCTAAAACAGTCCGACGTGCAGAAGATTTCTGATGGGAAAAACCCATCTTCCTCCATATCTGATCAAATATTGCTTCCATACCCGATTGTTAGGCTTGAATAGACTAAAAGATGCCATTCTTTAGCCTATATAAAGCCCTTAATTCATCAAGCAATGACATTCCATTCCATAGATTAAATCATAGTTTTTATATTTTTGTTCTTGGTATTTTCTTCAAGTTCTTGAGGAGGAAACTTCAACCTCCAAAACCATTGGTGTTTAGGTATTATTTCCTTTGTAATTTCATGTTCCATTACATTTCATATTGTATGTTGATTAATATGAGCATTAGAGGCTAATTTCTTAGCTAAGGCTAGGGATGAACCTCTATGCACACTAAGTGTTTGATAAAAGTTCTAAACCAATAAATTGTGATTTATCCTTTATATTTTGATTGTTTATGACTATGGTGTACAACATAGAAGTATGTTAAATTTAGTTTATGCTTGCAATTAACGTTGAAGTCTAAACTATGAACATTAAAGGATAAACATATATAGTACCGAGAATAGAAATATATCCGGTCTTATATGATACGGGTGTGATGTCTTGATATTCAACGGGGTTTTCGGTAGATGAATGTAAGCCGTAACGGGACTTACACGTAACGAAAACCACGCTCTCGCTGCCTTAACCGGAGTTGAGAATATATTAGCGACATCGTATTCATGATTATTGGGGAAGAACTATTATTAAACAAATATTAAAGCATTTAGGTGAATCCCGATTGCCTTAGTAATTCTCATTCTTGTTTAAACCAATCTCAAAAAGCAAAGTTCCTGAAAAATATATATCATTTACATTCTTTGCATTCAATACTCGACTTTATAATATCAACCATTTCCCTGTGGATCGACCCGGTATTTACCGGTATTTTATTACTACATCGGCACTTGTATACTTGCAAGTTCAGCCCGATCACCAAGGTAACCCTGTGGGAGAACCCTTGGACGAAGGCCGCAATGCCAGGGTTATCATCGACGATGCACGCACAGGCAGCCGTAGCGGTCTATTAAGGTTCCTTGGGTTGTTGTGAGGACGTTGAGTTTAGGCCGATGCGTTCCCCTTTGGAGTTTTGTAGTAATTGGGCCGCAGCGGTACTCGGCCGATGCCTTGCTTATTTGAGTTCAAGTTGGGCCGTAGGGGATACTTCCATGAGTGATATTGAATAGGTGCCTCTTGATTGGTTGTTGGGGAGGTGGCCGTTTGTTGTAACCAATGCGCGGATGCCACGTGTAGTGGCCGTTGGAGGGGTTCCTATAAGTACCTCCTCACTCCGAAGCCTTTTCCTCGTTTGCGATTTGCTGAGCTGAATTGCTGCTGAGATTTCTAGAGAGAGAAGTGCTTCCCAGCAATCGTCAAGTGTTCTTCAGACCTTCAAAAGTTCAAGGTTAGATTCTTGAATTTGTTCTTCCTTTTCTTTATATTTTGCTTCCTAGGGGGTTAGATCTAGTGTTTGTAGGAAAAACCACTTTGATCCTCGAACCGCCCTTAGGACGTAGCAATAGTTGTCATGCCGTTCCCTGACGGCCGTAGCGTCCCCTCTCCTCTTAACTTAACAGCTTCTTTGGACGAGTCGGACTGGCCTTTTGACGACGAGGACCCGTCTCCTGGAGTTAACCTTGAGGTGATTCGAGCCTTTGAAACAGAGATGGAGAATACGGCTGATTACCGCACTTCTCAGGACGAGGAGCGTCTGAGCGATGATGCGGGTTCCCAATCATCGGGCGAGGACGAAGCGAGCTCTGACCCCAAGCTTCGAGGAGACGAGGCGGGTGATGCCTCCTCGGCTGCTATCCCATGTCCGCCGCCGATTTCATCTGTGCCAGGTGGGGCGTCGTCTTCAAAGGTCACCAAGAAACGCGGGTCGCGTCGGAGGAAAGCTGCGGCTAGTGGGCTTTCCCAGTTAGACTTGACAAACCTGTATGTCATAAGGCCTGAAAGCACCCGAGGCGAGTACCATCTGGCTCAGCTGTATGTTGGGCCTTATGGGAAGGTGAGGGAGCCGAGACCGACTGATCATGTTCTGGATCCTCCTCCTGGGTACTTCGGGGTTTATCCGATGGGGTTCTCGCAAGGACTACGGTTTCCGTTGCCCCCTTTTGTGATTGAGTACCTGAATATGGTAGATCTTCCTCCGGCACTCTTGACGCCGAATAGTTTCTCGCTGATCGTCGGGTTCCTCATCCGGTGCGACGAGCTCGGCTTTGAGCCCACGACGGCTCTTTTTACCAATTTGTTCCGGATCGGCCGAGGGAGCCATAAGAATTGTGCTGGTTACGCTACGCTTCAGCAACTCCCGAAGAAGAAATCTTTTAAA